GAAGCAAGGCCAGCTGCTCCCTGAGAATCCAGGAGAAAGGAGGAGTCACATCCCTTCTCTCAGGTGCATGCTCCCAGGTTGCAGGCACTTCTCCAGGGAAGCGAGGCCAGGGTGCTGAGCCAGCTCCAGGAAGGTAGCTGCAAGTGGGAGAGGACAGGAGCTGGCGCCGGGTGACAGCAGGTACCACCATCGCCACAGAGACTGTCGGGAAAGGCCTCCATGTGCCCTTTGGCGACCACAAGAAGGCGTAAGATGAGGTCAGGCAACAAAGCGCCTGGTGGTGAGCACAAGGGTAGGCTGCTCTTACACACGGAGCCCAGCGCAGTCACAATGGAGCACTGCGACCAGCGCCCTGCAGCCGCAGCAGCATTCCTCTTGAAGAGTCCCAGGGCTGGTCAGGCTGCTGTTGCTAGTCCCCCAGCCACGTCATGGCCTCTGTACCTCCCATGCCACAGTAAGCGTCATCATGGGAAGAGAAATTCCAGATCCCTGCCAACGAGGGCACAGAGGCCCACAGCAGACGGGAGATCCACACAAACTCCCAGCTCTGGGCTGGGGGAGGCGGAAGCCGCGCCTCTCAGCACTGGGCACTGTGGACCTGTGAGTGGAATCGGAACCATGCTCCAGTACTGCTGCGTCCCCAGGACACACGCTCATCTCTGCAGGCTGCTGTGACCCCACAGCAAGGGATCATGGGAACAGCGCTTCCTGGCAGCTCAGCTCAGAGGTGTGAACAGCGTGGTGGTCCCCACAGAGCTTGGCTGAGCAGATGGTGACTGCAGCTACATCCACGTCCATGGGCGGCAGCCTCCTGGAGCACCCTGGGCTGGACCACAGCCACAGACTGTGGTTGCCCTCCCACAGGGGCTGGATCTAATGCTGACCACCACCACCATGGTGGGGCTATGCCAGGGAGTCACAGGATAAATACAGAGAAACAGTGCTGCAGGCCGTGTGATAAGTGAGGTGCGGCCGCTTTGCCAGGGTGGACTAAAAAGGCAGACAGGCAGACAGGAGGCCCACGACCTCCCTGGGCCTCCCTAGCACAGTCACTTTCTTTGTTGAAAACCTCAGGCGCCCACAGTCGCCCAGGCCTCAGTGGCCTTTAGCAGCCTCCCACTAACAGGACTACTTTCCCTGCCAGCGCCTGGCCAGGAGCACACACACCACACCCACCTCTCCAGGCTCCAGCGCACTCCCCAAGCGCTCAGGTTCCCAGGACCCACGGCAGCCCAGGGCTGCTGCTGCTCAGTCCTTTCCAACTCCTTCCCTGGGGCCTCTGGGACACCAGAGTGAGTTTCTAAATGTTGCGTCTCAACATCCTATGGTCACCTTAGTGTGAGAACTTGAACGAAAAGATGGAATCTGAAGGGTACAACAGGTACTGGGAAAAGGGAATTAACTTATTCAAAAGGAAAGAGTTACTGAGTTGAAGAGAAGGACAGGACAGTAGGGGAAAAAGATTTATCTATGTATGTAAACAAGACAATTTAGACAAACATGTAGATTTCTGCTGATCTATAGAGAGAAGTAGATAATGCCTAATTTGTTTTGTCTCCTTGTTTCAATTGTTTCTCCTTTTTCTCCTCTTAATTTCTTACATATTTCTTTTTTTCTTTCTCCCAATTTCCATACATATATTTGTTAACAAGAATAACTGCTTGGAAGACAACACTATGCATTACAGCAAATACTGTGAAATTCATATTACTTTGTTAAGTGAAATTCTGTATCACTTGAAATTTTTCTGTTGTCATACTATTTTGTACTCTCTTTATAAAGCAAAATAAATAAAAATTAAAATTAAAAAAATAAATGTTGCGTCTCCCAGTGGACAAAGAAGACACCCGGTTCTAAAGGCCCACGTTCCCCCAGTCATCACCCTTCTGAAGGTACCGTGGACAAAGTCCACACCCCTCAAGTGAAGTGCTAGGCTCAGCATAGGACACTGGTGACCTCGAGGCCTCCTGCTCTGCTTCTCCTACATAACAGCCTTTAGGGGCACGTTATGTGGCCCCCAAACCTCGAGAGTCTCAGCTGTAAAGGGGGTAACCCACCACCACCTGGAGGGATTGCTCAGCCAAGATGTGCAGAACTCCCTTCCCTCCACCCTTTCCAGGGATGCAGAAGGAAAGCCCTGAAGAACTGCCATCTCACCAGGCTGACTGCGACGCATCCAATGCTGTCTACTCTGTCTCACAAGTCTCAAGTCAAATCATTCGCACAGCTGACTGCAAAACTGTGGCACCCCTGGGAGCCATGGGTGAGGAAGCGCCCAGCACCCAGAGGACTTTGCTTATTCCTGGAGGCCAGGAAAGCTGCCTGGGAAGATGCCCTCGTGGTAAAAGGAAGGAGGAGCCCAACCACAATCAGACCTAAGGCCCCATCCCCAGTGCTGTCTGGACAGTCAAGTGTTGGGTGGCCCCAGGCGACCTGAGTCCTTGTGCCCCTCTGTGCTGAGGCTGCCACTTTCCTCTGGGTGGCCCAAGATTCAGGCAAACTTGTCTTGGCCCTGTGTAGGTCCAAGCCACCAGTCCAGCCCTGAGAGGCCAGACCCTCTGCTTGCAGGCATGCAGCAAGCACTTGGCTCCGGTGAGCAAGGCCAGCGGCTTGCTCCCTGCAGTGGGCAGGATGTGCCTTTCCTCACCTCCTGCCCATCTGCCCTCCGTCTTCCCCTGCACCCCTTAACCAGAGGCCCATGCCACACAGTGGTCCCAGTGCAAAGACATGTGCTGCCTGCCCCTGCCTCTGCTCAGAAAGACTCTAAAGGGTCAGGCAATGCCCCTGGCCCAGAGCCACCCCTCAGCCAGAGCTGCTCCACCCCGCTGAGTGTCTACCATGTGTTACCACATTAGTGTCCACATCATGAAATTCAACTCTGCTGTGGTGAAGCAGGTGACATTTAATTCACCCCTGCTGCAGAGAAAAAGGAAAGGAGTCAAAGAGGAGTCCTTGTAAGTCCCACAGGATACATGTATCAGAGATGCAAACCCAACACAAGCAGGTGCCACCCAGGTCTCGGGGTACTGACAGATGGCCTTACTGGCCCTGGTTCTAAGCATGGAGCCAAAAAACTACATCCCATTGAAATTGCAAAGTCCTAGCTCCCTACCCACCATGGCTCCCTTCACTTCCTTGTGCAGCACTAGAGCACATAGGTGCCAGGTTATTGCATGTCTGAGAGACACATGGGTTTCAGGGGCCCTGGCCTTCAAGGTACACACACTGCAAGGTAGGACAGGTGCACAATCCAGGAAGACGTGTGCAGGGGCACAGGAAGGACACAGTGTCAGAACAAGGCCTGGGCAGCTCCCAGGAAGGCGCTTTGTACTGGCCTCCCCACCAGCTCCTGCAGAGCACACACAACTGTGCTTATGAAAACTCGGCTTCTTTGAACACCAGCAACCTCACAACAACTAGCGGTCAGGACATCAAAAACCTGGCTTGCAAAGGACACATGCCTGATGCTTCCCAGGGAGGAGATGAGCCTTACGTTTCAGAGGGTCCCAAGGGAGCTGGCAGAGGCCTCACAAGACAAAGGTGGAAAGCTCAGCCCCCGTGGGCAGCTGTGGTCAGGCGCTTCGGGGGCGTCCAGGCTGAGAGGCTCCGTGGGCACTGTGCCCGCCTTCCTGCAGAGACCTGCATCCTGAAGAGCACCAGTAGCTAATTCCAGGACGCGAGTCTGGCAGCGTCACTCCCCAGGCAGCTGAATGCCACTGTAAATCCACTGGGCTCAGAAAACCTTCGAGTGATGATCCGTACAAATGTCAGGGGCAGCAGTCGCAAGAGCATCTTTTTATTCTCCTTTGGGTCCAAAGATCAGGCCTGGGACAGGGAAGAAAGAAAGAACGGTCTTGTCATAACCATTGGTGACAGAGTAGCCAGCCATCCTTCCCCCCTTCTGTTTGACCCTAGAAATAAAAAATGGCTCCCCACAGCGGGGAGGAGAGGCAGCGGAGGGGGAGGTCTCTGGGCAAACCTGCTTCCCACACCAGCGCAAGGGCCTTCATGACCCAGACCTTTGGCTGTGTCCAGGGAACAGCTGGGCTACGGTGCTGGGCTGCGAGTAACAGGAACCGCAGAGGACAAGGAGGCCAGCCTGGCCTGAGAGGTCCCCACAAGGACCCAAGAGGTTTAGTGTCAACTGATCAGAAGTTGTGCTCTGCTTTGTTTCTTTTTCTTTCTTTTAATCTTCTATGTTTTTATGTGTTACAGGGTCTCACTACGCAGTTCAGGCTCATAGTGATCCTCCTGTCTCAGCCTCCCCAGCACTGGGAATACAAGTGTGTGCCCCCACGCTGGGTTTCCACGGCTGGCATGATGCACCCAGGGTTCCAGGGCTGACATGGCATGCAGTACCAGGGATCAAACCCAGGTCCTTGCACTTGCCAGGCAGGCACTTAGACCACCAAGCTATCTCTCTAGCCTGCTTTGTTTCTTTGTAAAGACAACCACAGAAGTCCAGCGTGGCTCCAGGCTTTCCCCTCTGTACAGAGCTGCTTACACATCCATTACATACCTCTTGCAAGGCACCAAGCCCATTCCAGTCACAACTGAGTCTGTCTCTACCACCCAAGGATAACTGGAGACAAATCCACCCATAGCGGCCAGGGCAGGAGGCCGGCTTTCCCCATCCACCCATGGATGGCAAGCACTGCCCCCCTTGCACACCTAACTGCTCCCCACTAAAATCGCTGGCATCCCACCCAGTGCAAGTCCCCAGCCACCCAGGACTTCTTGCCCTACTTCCCAGATGAAGATTTGGAGACATGATGACTTTGCTTCAAATTAGTAACAAAGGAGCCTGACTCAAAGCTAAGTCATCCGTCCTGAGTCAGGTGAGCCCCAGTCCATCACTCTGGGTCACCTTGTAAGGGCTGCCTAGCCAGAATGGCTGCACCCTAAACCTAGATTCTGACATTTCACAGGTATAAAACCATCTACCAGACCGGTGAGATAGTTCAGCAGTCTAAAGTGCCTGCTTAGGCGAGATTAGGCAAAGTGCAGGGACCCCTGTTCAATCCCCAGTACCACATGCCATACCAGCCCCACCCCAAGGGTGGGCCGAGCCATAAATAAATAAAGCCATCTACACACACACACACACACACACACACACACACACACACACACACCATGACTTATAAACTATTCTCAAGTTTAAAATGGTCACACAACTTTAAAAGAAAAAGCACAGAGTCACCAGCAGTGTGAATCAGAGGTCCATGAGAATGGCCCTTACCCCTACTTCCATCAGTGACAACTTACCGCCACCAAAACAAATGCTCACAAACTGAAAGGCTTAAAATCTCACACATTTGTGTCTTAGAGTTCTGCAGGTCAGCAGACAGACGCGGGCCTCACTGGGCTCCAAGCGAGGGGACGGCGGGGCCTCGCTCCTTTCCAGAGTCCCCAGGAGAAGCCATGTCCCGGTCTTTTCTGGTTCCCGCAGGCTGATCCGCCTTGGTGCCTGGCGCCTTTCCGCCCACGCAAATCCTCCTCACACCGCTCTGCCTGCTTTTGCTGCCAGGCGATCTCTCACTTTGCTTCCTCACTAAGGACTCGTGGAGGCGCAGAGCTCCTGCAGGGAACCAGGAGCATCTCCCACCCTGAGGACCCCAGCCTTGATCCCACCAGCAGGGTGGGATACACGAGGGATGCAGGATCCGTAGGCCCAAGGGATGAGGACAGACACCGCCTTGGGGCCTACTGTGCCCACCAGCAACCATGCCAGGAGCGCACACATCTCCTGCCTGGGCAGTGCTGAGCAGAGCAGCTGCCACCCTCACCATGGAAATTGGATTGCTCGCCACAACCCAATGCACGCACGCATAGCCATGAACTCAGACACGGACACTCGCACGTGCACAGTGCACAAGCTGCAGCAGTCAATGGGGACAGCACAAAGAAGACCGGTGGGTTTCTTCTTAGAAACACCCACATGCTGCTGCCCTTGTTGTGCTGGGTGAGCTGAGGTGCTCAGACACTGGCCACACAGGGCTCGAGCCAAGATGGCAGCTGTCATAGGAGTCGGCAGGGCACCAACTGCCAAGGACGTTTAAGAGGTCAGTGTCAGGGGCTCCATCGCTGAGGTGGCTCATGGAGGTGGATCAGATGTCCCACTGTACAGCGGAGTCCCCAGGCCTCAGGCTCTGAGAGACAGAGCCTCTGCATCCAGGTTGGTTTTAGTGCTAAAGTACGGGCTTTTTCCATTCTCAAACACCCTCACTTGAAATAGAATTTCTAGAATGTTCTGCCACTGGTAGTGGTCAAGTAGCACCTGAAAGACTGACTGTCTTGTGGGTAAACATAAACTCTGCAGTGCTGAGATTGCACCCAGGGTCTTCATACTGAGCTACAGCTCCAACCTTTTTCATTTTAAGATAAGATTTCACTAAGCTGCTAGGTTGCCCAGGCTGGGCTTCAACTTGGGATCCTCTTGCCTCAGCCTTCCAGAGTGCTGAGATTATAGGCATGCACCACCACACCTGACTGCACAATATATTTCAAAAAGAAGACAGGAGGGAGAGGGAGGAGAAATGAGAAGGAAGAGTGAAGAAAGGAGGGAGGAAGAACCCTAACGTAAGCCATCGTGTATAGGGTATGTACTCCCCTGGTACTCCAACAATGACCTCCTTCTGGTGCCTAAAAGCCTAAAGAGAGGTCCAGGTCTATAGCAGGCAGGTAGCGAAGACTTACTGGTTTGGGTGGATTGAAGAATCAGAATAAAGATCAAAATAGTGCATCTGAAAGGGAGAACACAAAGACTGAAGAGGGGAGACCCAGAAAAGTCTTGGCTAAGTTCTGCACACACATTGCTGCCTGCACCATGGAGAGAGCCCTGAGCCCGGCAGCTCCCACGCACCCGCTGAGGCCGGCACTAACAGAACTCCAGGGCGGCCCCACGCCACTCAGAGCCTTAGGTTTACTAAGAGATGTTTCCCAAGTTATCAAATTCAAACATTTACTAAGTTAACTGCTCACTGAAACAGAAAAGCAACTCTTTAGAGGAACAAAACAGATTTCAGAATCTCTCCAATGTGTCATTCGCCACGTTTATGACAAGATTAAAATTAACTTAGGTTAACCAATAAGCAAAAGGTGAAGGGAGTGGATAAGATCTATTCTCAAGAACAGGCATGAAAGAGACCATACTGATGTTTCTAAGATGAGCACGACTCTGGAATTAGCAGACAAGGGTTTAAAGCTTTGACTGTCACTAGGCCTAGGAACTTAAGGAAAATAAATTCTTAGTGCCTGAGAAAATAGGAAATCTCAGTAAGCAAGCAAGAAAAAAACTTAAAAAAGCCAAATGGACATCTTGCAATACAATACCTTGAATAGTGCACCGGGCTTATTCAACAGCAAGCCGACTGGAGGGAGAAGAAGGGAGAGAGGATTTACAGAGAACAGGCAGGTGGGAACACAGCACTGTGAGCTGACACCACCTTAGCCAGCTTCGGTTCTGTCTCAGGCTGGTGAGGTGAGATTTCTCCCACCTGTGGTCAAGAGAAGGATGTCCCCTCTGCTTCCTCTTGGGGAGGGTCACGGCAACAAGCTCTGTCCCACGTCCATGTCACTTCTCGGCATCCCACAAGTAGCACCTGCTGCCCTGGAAGATGCTGTACATCCGATCACCTGAGCCCAGGGAAAGCAGCAGCCATGACCAGGACAGGATCTACTACAGCTTTGTGCCCTTCCCCCCACCCCCGCCTGCGTGCGAGGGGACACAGCTGAGGACGTCGGCACCCCCAGCCTGCCAGCACACACCCTTCGTGCTCTGATTACTCTTCCCAGGGAAGGAGCAGAGACGGGGCTCAGGTGTCGATAACCCAGAGTGTGAACCCCATGCTGGGTCATGGCCTTGTGGCCTTGGGCACAAACATATGCTTGTGGGAACAAACCTGCATGTCCTCTAGCGATCACCTGGGAGTGAGCGGATGCACTACCGAGTCACTGTCCCCCTCAATAGGTGTCACCCTGAGCATCATGGGTGAGAAATGGGACCCTAAGTCAGGCCGGTTCATTCATGGGACGGAGGAGGAGGAGGAGGAGGAGGCGGCGGCGGCGGCGGCGGCGCTGGCACAGACCAAGCCCCCTCCTGCAGCCCCTACCCTGCGCTGGGTGCAGGACCCTCTCTCAGCTCAGCAAGCCCCCAGCTCAGAGCTGCCACACACAAGCGCTGGCATTCCATCTCCAGGACCCCCCAGGGACCCAGCCACGTGTGGCCAGAGAGTGCTTGATAAGTCACAGCCGCATACTGCGTGTGCGGCCATCAGCCAGCCACACAGGGCCAGGAAGTCACAATAAAAAAGCAGCACACAGTATTTCCCCTGGCTCCGTACAGCTCTGGTTCTTCTCCCTAGCAACCATCAAAGAAGAGCCATGGCCCTCCGCTGTCCCATGGCCGTGGGCCTCAACAAAGGCCACAGGGTGACTAAGAATGTGAGCAAACCGAGGCACAGCCACCATCGTGGCTGTCTCACCAAACACCAAGTTCGTGCGGGCATGACCCGGGAGGTGTGTGGTTTCACCCCCTACAAGTGGTGCACCATGGAGCTGCTCAAGTTTATCAAGAAAAGGGTGGGGATGCACATCGGCTCCAAGAGGAAGCGTGAGAAGCTGAGCAACGTGCTGGCCGCCATGAGGAAGGCAACTGCTAAGAAGGACTGAGCCCCTCCTGAATAAAGCTTTGCAGAAAACAAAAAACAAAAAACAAGCAACACATGGTCCAACCTTCAGAGGCTGTTAGGTGCACAAAGAAATCCAGAGAAGCAAATGTGCAGCCACTGCTTGTCCATAAACAGGAGCACTTGGGGACATCC